GGGCGATTGCTGAGCTCATAAGAAGACCAGACATTGTTGAAAAGGCAATAGAAGAGATGGAGCGCTTAATTGGGAAGGAAAGATGGGTTCAAGAAAAAGACATACAAAACTTATCTTATATTCGCGCAATAGTAAAAGAAACAATGAGACTGCACCCAGTGACACCTTTGCTCGTGCCTCACTTAGCGAGAGAACAAGTTAAAATTGAAGGCTATGATAATTCCTAAGGGCTCCGTTGTACTTGTGAATACTTTCTCAATACATAGAGACCCTACGGTGTATGAAAGGCCTGACGAGTTTTGGCCAGATAGTTTTATTGGAAATGGTATCATATCGATGTCAAAGGTCATGATTTCGAGTTGTTGCCTTTTGGATCAAGAAGAAGGATGTGCCCAGGGTATAGTCTAGGCCTTAAAGTTATTGAGTCAAGTTTGGCTAATATTCTTCATGGTTTTGTATGGAAATTGCCTGATGACATGAAGCCTCAAGATTTGGATATGCAACTGATCTATGGTCTCTCAAATCCTAAGAAGATTCCACTTAGTGTTTGTGCTGAGCCTCGACTTTCTCACCATATTTACCATTTGTGAAATTTTAAGTTTTCTAGTGAACCTAAAGTATCTAAACTTAATCTTTCAAGTTAAGTTTTGGGGTACTAGGCCGCTAGGGCCTTTTGTGTTCTTGTTTTAATAAATCGAGTGTGTAAACTACTGGTCATGATAAAATTAGTAAACACTAATTATGTTCGTTCTTTTAAAGTTTTTTGTTTATTGTTTAATTAGTCATATTTGTCAATACACGATTTCATTCACTAATATTTGTACGAAAAATAATATATACAGCGCTACATATTAGAATCTTAAAATTGTAAGGGGAAAAAAATGAAATATTAATTTAACAATAATTCCCAAGTAATTCCTACTTAACATTTTCAAGGTAACTAGCTAATTTCTCTAACATTAATTCCAAGGTAATAAGAACCATCACTCTTCCAATCAATTAAGTCTTGATGTAGCTCGTGATCTACCTTAATCTCTGTTTCTTCTAATAAAAGCTGGTTGTTTGGGTAAAACAAAAAAAAAAAAAAAAGTTTACCACTTAGCTAGTTGCAACAATTGCAAGCCATCACTCTTGGCATTACACTGTATTTCTGTCTTCAATCCAACAATAGCTTTAGCTTCTCTCACATAGTCACATTAAAATTCTCATATTAAACTTTGCTTTTTCAAAACTTGTAGATTTTTTTGTGGTTGTTAAACAACGCTCCCATTTACAAGGCACCACTCGCATTTTAATACGAACTTTCGTAATTACCCCTCGTAAATAAATACTCACGACACTCACAACACTCATTTCTCATTTCTGAAATCACAAATTCACAACTCTCTCGTAACTTCAATCTCATTTCATCTCTCTAAATTTTTTTCTTAAGAAAAAAAAAAGAAACAACCACAACATTGATCACAACAAAAAAAAATAAAATACTAATATTAATTACTCAATTAATCAAAAAATTAATATTAATCATAATAAAAATTATAATAATAATATTAATGCAAAGATTACAATAATAAATTTGATTAATTAATCAATTCAAAAAAAAAAAAAAATTTACTTCTGCCCAAAAAATTAGGATCCACTTAAAATTTCCGGATCCACCTAGGAAGATCCGGAAATTTTAGGCGGTTGTGGGAGACCCGCCTAAAATTTCCGGATCTACTTAGGTGGATCCGGAAATTAAATTTTAAGTGGATCCTAATTTTTTAGGCGGATGTTTTATTTCAAAATTTTTTAAAAAAGTACGACGACTTACAGAAGCCTCCGGTGTCCGAACGTTGTTGTCATCCATCGTCTTAAACCCGTCGCTAATAGGTAATGAATTTTTTTTAAAAAAAACTCGGATTTTTAGTGGTGGATCGAATGTGGTGGTGTCGGGGATTTTTTATTTATCATGTGGTAGTAAGTGGAGGGGTCAGGAATGATATTATACCATTATATACTACAACTTACACAAAAGGGCAATATCGTCCTTTCATGTCAAAAAGGGAGTGATGCCCTGTAAAAATGGGAGCGGTGTTTAGCATTTCACATTTTTTTATATATGTCTATTGTGGGAGTGTTCATAAATATCCGACCTGCAACACCTGAACCATTGACCCAAGTAATAAAATCAGGTAGTAAGCTGTTTTTAATTTGTCAAAATAAATTGGTCGGGTACGCCACAACAAGGAAGGGTGTCTTTACCGACAACTCAAAACCATCGATAAAAATGTAACAAATCGTCGGTAATGGCTAGCCAATGGTAATTGGCCAACTAAATATCGTTCTTCAGTACTTTTAGTTTACCGACGACCAAAAGTAAACTTTTAACGACGGCCAGAGGTAAACTTTTAACGACGGCCAGAGGTAAACTTTTTACTCAATTTCCTGATTGTCTGACCGTAGGTAAACAAAAATGAAAATAATAATACTACGTATTATTACTTCATTTCTCTCACCTCTAGTGGAGGATACAGGGAGGGTTCAAGTAGGTTCATTGAACCCATTGATTTTTTGAAAAAAGAAAAATTAAATTTTTTTTTCCTTAAAATAAATAAATTAAAAAGGGTTAAATAGAGTATTTTCGTAATATATAGCAATTAATATGTTAGTGTTCAGCCTAGTGGTAATTTTTACAATGCGTCCTTCCATTCCCTTATAAGGAATTCAGGGGTTCGAAGTCTCGAACCCTCTCAACCCCTTTTTTTTTTTTTTTTTTGCAACTTTTCACTCCAGTCCTCATTTTCTGAATTTCCCCCAAATTCTCAAACCCTAACTTTACCTTCCTCTCTCTAACTCAATCACTCAATTGTTCCCGCTGCGGCACCGCTCCACCCCACCGGCCATCGCTCACGACTGCTCCTCCGCCCCCTCGGCTCGTCGCTGCTGTACGGACTACCACAGTACTTTATTTTGCTCCTTCTTGCTAGTTGCTACTCCACTTCAATACTTCATTCATTTTATTAGATTTATCTATTTTATAATCAATTGATTATTGTTTTTTGCTAATTAGAAAAATTATACAAGTGATTGAATAATTGATTTATTGATTGTAAATTTGTAGAGTAAGATACTTAATTAGATTCTTGGTAGTTGGGGTTTATAATTGATGATTGTTGTTAAATTAATTTGATGTCTTGATTGCCATTTTATTTTTGTGTAGTTAATTTATCGTATGAATATTGTTTGATTTCAGTTTGCAAATGAGTTTAGAGTCTTTTTAGAAACGTGCGGGGAAGTCAGTTTTCTTGAGAGAGACTTATTTGCCAGAGTTAGTGATGATGATGTATTGATCTGATACGCTTTCAAAGTATGAAAACTCGAAGAATGCTTTTGTAGGTTTTATTTTAATTATTTTTATTTTTTATTTTCATTATTCTAAGTGTAATCTATTTGTAATCCGAAATCTCAACTTATGTATTGAATCTTTAATTAATGTATTTTCATTCTTTTTTTTTTTTTCGATTCCAAACTCACTGTTCCAAAATCCTAGATACACCACTGCTCATTTCTTCTCTCAACCCACGTAGCCACCCTCACCACACACACCTCCTTCACGTACCTCACCACACACGTACCAACACACAACAACCCAACAACTGAGCAACTTGGAGAAGAAAATTTTTAAAAAAGAAAAACGCCACAATGCCTAAAAAAATTAGTGTAAACTAGTGTCAATGAATAGATTTTTAATTTTCAATTGTTAGAATTTATACTTAATACGTAATGAATGTGGCATGATTAAGAAATGTGGCATGATTAAACATAGTACGTAATAGGTACGAGAGTAAAGTTGTAATTTAAGTAAAATGGGACAAACCTAAACATACATAGGCCATGTTGGACAAAACGTATGTGAGATTAATTGTTAGTTGTCTAGCTGTTGGATGTGAAGATGAAGAAATGAGACAAGTATAAAAAGGCTGAGAGAGTAGTATATGAACTCGTACTTGATAATAAGTAATAAGTGGAGTACCTTATTCACTTAGTCTACATTTTTATTTTCCCCAAAATGATCAGACAACTAGTTTAGATTGGAGGTTGTGACACATGCAAGATTTATTAATCTTGCATGATATGATGCATGTGTGAGCTACGTAGTACTGAGTATTATACTACGCTGATAGGTCACAAGACCGAATAGAAGTTTTTAGAAAGTAGTCCGTATTTCCTAAAACGATCTGGTATCGTATGCTAAAAACAAATAATCCCTTATATTTTTCCACATTTTCTTGAATGATCGAGTCATTTCCCAACCAGCTCACTATATATAAATGGAGAAGAAGATAAAACTATACACTACAACAACTATTCGAAAATGACAATCAAACAACATACCAGTTCAATTGGATATACTTTTTATTTAATCATTTAATTATATGGATGAATTAAGCCACTAACTACACTTACGTTGGGGGTTTATTGAAAGATGAAAAGGTACACGATGCTAATAATCTGGTCTCTCTATCACCGAGAAAGACCAAGCAAGAATGGTTATTTTTTTCACAGAGAGAGAATCGAAAGTCAATTAAGTTAGTAGTATATAGTATATACTACGAAGTATTATGTATTAGTTACAGACCTTGAGCTAGCAACTCTTTAAGTGTAAATTTCAAATTCAGTTTTAAGCTTGATTGCTTGACCTTTCGATATAATTTTTCGATTAATATTTCTAAGCTTGTACAACTTTATGATGTTATCAATTGCACGTCATGTTTTTTTAAAGAACTCAGCTTGTCACATTCTCCATAGGTCAGCTATGTATAATGTATTCCCAAGTGGCTCCCTATAATAAGAAAATTATAAATAAAACCAATGCAAAACCGCTACTTCACAAATTGCATTATTATTTACTATAAATAGGGTTATTCTTGCTTCAATTACTATAAATAGCCCCTATTGACTTCAACTTGAAAAACATAAACCCTGAACCCTCAAAACAATAATTAGCATAAACACCAATGGAGGCACCATCTTTGGCCGCGAATGTGCTCGCATGGCTAGCTGCCATAGCCATAGTACTCCTTACTAACCACCTTTGCCGACGTAAACTTAGCCTACCACCAGGCCCAAAACCATGGCCTATCATTGGGAACTTTAACCTTATTGGATCTCTTCCTCACCACTCCATCCATGAGCTCTCAAAAAAATATGAACCTATAATGATGCTCCATTATGGGTCAGTTCCAGTGCTAGTAGGCTCATCAGTCGAAATGGCGAAAAAATTCCTTAAAACACATGATGAAACATTTGCCGGAAGGCCTAAAAATGCTGACGGAAAGTACACAACTTATAATTATTCCGATATAACATGGTCTCAGTATGGCCCTTATTGGCGCCAAGCACGAAAAATATGCTTGATGGAGCTATTTAGCTCCAAGAGGCTCGAATTGAATGAGTATATACGAGTAGAAGAACTTAATTCCATGTTAATAGGTATATTTAACACTAATGGAGAACCCATTGTGTTAAGAGACCACCTATCTACTATGAACCTAAATGTGATTAGTAGGATGGTGTTAGGTAAAAAATACTTGGATAAAAATAATGAAGAAAAATCGATCGTAACGCTAGAGGAATTTAAGTTAATGCTTGATGAATTATTCTTGTTGAATGGGGTATTGAATCTTGGAGATTGGATCCCTTGTTTAAAGTACATGGATGTACAAGGTTATGTGAAGAGAATGAAAATTTTGGCTAAGAAATTTGATAGGTTTTTGGAGCATGTGTTGGATGAACATAATGATAGAAGGGAAAAAGAGAAGGAAAATTGGGTGGCTAAAGATATGGTGGATGTTTTATTGCAAATTGCTGATGATCCTACAAATGAAGTTAAGCTTGAAAGAATTGGAGTGAAGGCTTTTAGTCAGGTATGTATGTAACTTTGTTTATATACATTTACGACAAGTTTTCCGAACGCGATTAAGTCATCTTTGGTCGAAAAAGTTTTACGACGAGAAACGCATAAAAATTTTACGACCATTTTGAAAGACTTGTCGTAATTATATTCTTACGATGAGTCTAAATCTCGTCGCTAATGTGAACAAAATACAACCAATATACTTGTCGCAATTCATTTTAAAAATAATTTAAATTACATTTCTTAATTCTTCACTTTATTCCAGTAGTTTTATATTTTGCTTTTGTTGCGTTTATTAACATAAATCAAAACCAAACACAGTACACATTATATAAAATTGAAATCAAACAAGAATTATATTGCAACTCTTTCATAAATTATTAGGAATAAATTAAATTTAAAAGGGAACATAAAAAATTTACAAGAATACAAAAATCCTTGGCAGTTTCTTTAAAACTAAAAATTAAACTTGAAAATCTAAATTACAAAGCTACCTAATACTCCTTATAACTTCAACAAATATAGCCATCTTGGTCTTAATTGCTTGCCTTTTGCTCTTATAATATGAAATTCCCCTTAATTCACAACCCCTATAAACAAAAAAAAAAAAAAAAAAAAAAATAATTGTAAATATTAGATGAGATGAAAAAAAAAAAAAAAAAATTAAAAAAACACTATGCTTAACCAGCCATATCTGATATAACCACTAAAGGATATTCTTGAATCAAAATTGGTAAACATAAATTCATAAAAAAAATAAAAAATAAAAAATAAAAAAATAAAAAAAAAAGTATGGTTGTAATTCTAATATTTTTTAAAAAATATTGTAAATCTAAAAAAAGCAGGATAAATAGAGAAAAAAATGAGAACTAGAACAAGAGTTAAGATAGAGAATTAAGAATTACTTACTGTCATAGACCTAAATTGAAACAAGCAAAGTTGCCAGAGTAGATATATATGGATTATGGACATGGTACTTGAAGAAAAACTATCATATCATATACGAGTAGTAAGAGAAAGATGGCAAGAAGTAATCGAAGATAGAAATAAAGAGATAAAGAGAAGTAGAAGAAAGGGGAAGAGTGTCGGCGGAAGAATTAAGTAAACAAAAAACCTAAGTAGTCCTAGAAAAAATCCCGCTCTAGCTTAGTTTTATTTGGATGAAATTTTCGTATTTTCGCGACCAGATTTTAACTTTACGATGAGATGTTTGTCTTGTTGCAAAAAGTTTCTAATATTTACAATCAGTTTAAAAATCCGGTCGTTGTTCTAGTTAATTACAACTAGAAACGCGTATGGTTGTTATTTTTGGTCGCAAAAAATAAGCTATTTCCTTATAGTGATTATATATATAATGGCGGATCTAGGGGGTACACAGAGGTACAGCTGTACCCCCAGTTTGTGGGAAAAAAATTAATAACAAAAGAGACCGCCTGTATTAAATAGGTGGTCTCTTAGGTACTGCTATATAGTTTGCCAACACAACTAATCAGTGCGCCTTTTTTGTGTTAAATTCAAAGAGACCACCTATTTAAAAAACGGGTTCTTAGGTTATTTTTTTTTTTTAATATTTTCTACGCCAAACTAGTACTTTTGATCAAAGAGACTATTGTTACAAATAACAGGTCTCTTAGATGATATCGTTATTATTTTTATTGATTAGTACTTTGGATCAAAGAAACCTATTGTTACAAATAACAAGTCTCTAAGATAATCTCTTTTTTTATTCAAAAAATATATTTAGTTATTCAATTATAAGTCTTGTTGTCGGAAGATAGGGTGTATAGTAGACCTGGCAATCCTGACCTAGACCTGATGACCCGACCCATGACCCAAAATTGACCCGAAAACATTAACCCGAAAATGACCCAAAACCCGAAATTGACTCGACCCATACCCGACCCGAAAATGGAGTTGACCCGATCTTGACCCGACACCTGAACTGACTCGACCCGAAATTGACTAGACCCGAAGTGTTTGACCCGAACAGAACCGATACCCAAAATTGACCCAAATTGATCAGATACCCGAAATGTCCCGAACTAAAATTACCTTATAATTGAACTTAAAATGTCTTGTACCAAAAGTAACTCAAATTATTCATCTTCAACCGTAGCTAAGGTCATAAACTGAATTGATAGTTTCTATTATAACAATAACAAAATATATACTCAATATAAAATTATTCATTTGAGCTTGATTCACAAATGAAACAACCCGAACATGACCCGACCAGATTTTGACCTGACCCGAATATGACCCGAACATACTTGACCCGAAATTGACCCGAAACCCGAATAGACTCGACCCGACCCATACCCGACCCGAATGTTAGCTGACCCGACCTGAAAGTAACCCGACCCAGACCTGACCCAAATAACCCATTTGCCAGTCTAGTGTATAGTACACACAAATACTAATACAATAGTGAAATGGTTTGTTAACTCAAAATTTAGTTAGGAAAAAATTATTACGCTCCAAATATTACTTTGTATTTTGTAATTTTTTTTTTTATTAAACTTAATTTTTTACCCCCATTTTCCAAATTCCGTATCCTCCACAATTTCTTCAATATTAAAAACCTAACCAAAACAACCTACATTCACTAGTAGAAAAAACTAAAAAGGCACCCCCCTATGGCAGCGGTTCATGAAAACCGTTGCCAACTAAAATGAGCGCCAATTAAAATTTCAGAGTTGGCAATAGTTAACCGTTGCCAACTGTTTCTTTTTTTTTAAAAAAAAAATAAATAAAACCGTTGCCAACTCTTAAATTTTGGCAACGGTTAACCGTTGCCAAATACTTACTTTTTTTTAAAAAAATAAAATAAATTAAAAGGGTTAGATTTGGCAACGGTTAACCGTTGCCAATTGTGAAAAAAAAACCCGGTTTTTCATTTCTCAAGCCTCCTGTATACTCCCTCCTGTTCTTCGTTCTTCTTCAATTCATTAAAAACATTGACGCGCGTTTTCTCTCCCCCCTTCTTCATTCAGCAACTCCCCTCTTTGTTCCTCCATTGAAGTACTGCGAGCTTTCTCACCTCCGTTGAAGACAATACTCGTGTCGTACTCTGGCAATAACTCCCTCCATTGAAACATCTTCAACCGAAGGTAAGTAGCAATTAGGTTTTACTTATATACTTCCATTGATGAATTCGTTCGACTTTTTGGTGGATTTGATTTACAATTTAGTAATTATAAGTTCCTGTAATCTAGGGTTTGTCAATTGAAACAACTATAATGGACTTGAGCCCTATGTGACTATGTCGGAATTTGGAGAGGTTGGCGCTTTTTAGTAGTGAGTAATACTAAATTTGAACCCTAAATCCCTAATTGTTTAATAATCAACTCAATTTTAGAGAATTTTGCATTATCTGAATTGTGAATTTTGCATTATCTAAATTGTGAATTTGTGAAATGCTCGCCTAGTCGCCTGCTCCCGCCTCCAGTGCTCTGTGCAGCTGTGCTCTGTCCTCTGCTGCTCGCCTAGTCGCCTGCTCCAGTGCCTAGTCGCTGACTTGCTGTCTTGCTGAGTGTTGGGCGTGGCCCTGCTGCAGTGTTACTCCGCCTGCTCCGCTGCTCGCCTCAATCATTCAGCGCCTGCCGCCTCCGCCTAGCAAGGTAGGTAATCATCAATTGATTCTTTTTTTTTTTTTTGGTGAATTTTTGATCAAATTTGCATTACTTGTCTCTTAAAATTAGTATATACGGTGAATGTTCATTGAATTTGCATTATTTGTGTAAATTGTGTTTTGACTGTTAAATTGAACTTGTTAGTTTATCTGTTTATGTCATTATGTGAAATTGTGAATATGTGATGCCGGACATTGTATAAGACAACAATTAGACTATTAGTGTAAGGAGGATTATAAATTTATAATTAGATTACAGTGTGGACTGGTTAGTGCTTAGTGGTGCTAGTCGCATATTCGGCTGGAAGTTCCGTATAGACTAGTGGAGATATTAATTTGTTGATTTTAGTCTTGTCAATTTTAAGCTTGTTAATTATTAGTTAGTATTGTAATCTTGTCAATTTTCTATTTGGATGATTTTTGTAAATAATTTTTCTGGGGAATATTGCTTGATTTAGTTGAATATTGCTTGATTTAGTTGAATATGAACCGTCCAACCAATTATGAATAGGGGTAATTCGTTGTTGGGGTTATTTGCATATGATTCATACTTGTGATTTCATTTGTTTTGTTAACTTTGTGTTTGATTAGGTTGTTGAATTTATATGCAGGGAAGACTCAGCTTATCAATCATTTTCTAATCAACAAGTGTTGGTATATTGTTAATTTGCCTGGATATGGGTGAGTCTCTGTAATTTTGGTTTTAATTTGGGCAATTTCTGTAATTCTTGAGTCTATTTCATGCTGGGAATATTGTATACTTGTATTGTGAATCAATTGTTATTCGTGTTTATTCCTGATCATATGCTTGAATCATATTGAAGTGCCAAAAAAAGGATTGCTTTTACGCCTTGAAGCATTGCTTCAAAATTATTGATCATCCTGGAAATAGCAGTGTTCGTGTTGGGAATTATCCCGCGTTGTCTAGGAGGTTTTCGGTGTCTAGTGCTCAATATACAAGAATTATAGAAAATAGGCATCCTAGTAGCCAAAATGGCCATAGTTGAGCCATTTTGGTTGAAATTGCGTTCCAAGACCACTTACTTGCTATTTTCTTGTAATCTAAAGCATTAGTCACCTATAACTAAGTGATTATGACATGTTTTAACTAGTTATGAGTTCAATAGAAAAGAAATATAGAAAATAGGCATCCTAGTAGCCAAAATAGCCTTACTTGAGCCGTTTTGGTTGAAATTGCGTTCCAAAACCACTTACTTGCTCTTTTCTTGTAATCTCAAGCATTAGGCACCTATAACTAAGTGATTATGACATGTTTTAACTAGTTATGATTTCAATATACAAGAATTATAGAAAATAGGCATCCTAGTAGCCAAAATGGCCTTACTTGAGCCATTTTGGTTGAAATTGCGTTCCAAGACCACTTACTTGCTCTTTTCTTGTAATATTATTCCGACGGAATAAATAATGGAATGTGGAAAACAATGGCTCCTAGATTTGGCCATTTTCGGCAAAGAAAAAGACTCCTATGATTTATATTGAGATATATTTCTCTATTCCTTGAAATCATCCTTGTTATCAACCGGAATGGGCATGTTTCTCCAGTAAACAGCGAGAGCACTACCACCGACCTGTAAAGGCCAAAAGAAGGGAACACTGGCTCAGTTTGATATATGCACATAGACAATGATTTAAGATATAGAGACTTGGCACAGAAACTCGTACCGCCATGAAAACCACGCTCACAGCAGAAGGGACAACAAGAAGTGGGTTTGTGAAATGTTTTTGAGCCAGCAGAAACCCGAGTGCAGAACTCTGCATCATGCATGTAGAAAGATCAACTTAATTATTATAGTTCTTTTCACCTTACGAATAGATTTGAGTTATCACAAGTACCCAAGTATCTCTTCCATACATAAGAGCCCTAGTTTTATTATACTGAGTTTTATTATACTGGGTACAGACGAGTTCAGACAAGGGTCAACAATAGCCAAGGTATTGGGCTAATTAATTTCGGGTATGTTCATAAAGGAGGAGTTCAGGTGAGTAGAATGAAGCCTTCCCTTTACCCGCAGTCAAAATTTAACTTCGAGCAAATTGAAATATGTTGCATATACAGTATGTTCAGGTATTGAGCAAGTTAGGAGCAAAATTCGATTTTCATGTTATGTACCGTATGTCAATCAGCAGATCAAGAATAAAGGATGTTGCATCAAATTGAAATATTAAGCATACGACATGATGGCAAAAGAGTAGCACTTGTCCACGATGAGTTTCAAGGAAAAAGGGAGAAGCAACTTGCCTGCATTCCACATTCTATAGATATAGTACGAGAAGTGGATTCACCGAATGATAATTTGGAGATAAGGTAACCAATTGCAAATGCAGCAGCATGCAAGAGTGCAACTGGCAAAATCAGCTGTGGTCCTTGTGCTTTCAGGACACCTGCAACTTGTCCAATCTAACATATAGAGAAAGAAACGAGAGTTAGCTCATATGATGCCGTCAAGGTACTGTTAAAGAAACAAAAATTGCATGATGGAAAAACTTACAGGACTGGCACAAAACAAGGTAGTGAGGATCACTCCAATCAGAGGTGTTATTGTGATAATCTTTGCAGTAAACTTGGGGAAAAATTCGTTCGCCAGTACTGCATTATAGTGCAAAACAATCAACTGAATTGTGTATTTTTTTCATACATAAAGGGACCAAAACAAGTCACAACAGCAGCAGCAGCCATCTTGTTTTCTTGGTCCCTTGATAAATCAATGATCAATCCACCTAATATGATAGTTGTTACACCAATCGTCATTCCCAAGGAATTATCACGTGGGAGTTAGTTTAAGGGATGGCCCTCAACCATATAGATGCGCTTTCTGCAGGGCTGGGAAGGTCATGATGCCTGAGATGAGTACGCTAGTGGGACTCAGTTTATAAAAAGTAAAACACACTGCAGTATGACTACTGCCGGTGGGATCTAGGGTGGCCAAAAATGCATGCAAGCTTGGCCTTGACTTGTCAAAACTAGTAAAGAGGCTGTTTCTGAACCACTTAATCCCTTCTAATGCCATCATAGATACCCAATTGGCCATACTAGGCAATAAAACTGTAACCCATGGGCTATACTATGAATTGCAAATAAAATCCATCATAAAGGATAAAGGCTAGACACCATCTTCAAGTTACCTCCAATAATTGTTGGTACCAAGACAACCTGGAAAGTGCTCAGAGCCAGACCCTAGAAAGAAGAAACAATCGATAAATTTTCTCAGTGGACAAACATCGACAATTAGCATGCACACATACATACAACATTCATAAACCTCAGGCTCCTCATATATGAGAGTTACCAGCTTGAGAATCGCTAACTCTCCTCTCTGGCCTCTCAAAATCTATCCTTAACAAATCAATAAACTCTATCTTTCAGTGATACAGCTACATTAACAATCCATTAATTTTCTCTCAGTGATAACTACATAATCAATGTAAATAAAGAGAAATGGTAGAACTATAAAATTGGAGGCAGTAATTTGTAAATCCTTTCTTTTTGTCTTGTCTGTCTATCCCCTGTTTTCTTTTCTCTTTATATATCATTTTTGTCTCTGTTTCCTTACTCTTTCGATTTGCCAATAGGTTAACTTAGCCCCTTCCATTTAGTACAGATTCTCACACCCATAACAATACCAAAATCTTTTTAAATCGAATAGTTGTGATTGACAAACAACCATTTTATGATTTAAGAATGAGTGGACTCACAGCTGCATCAACAGGGACCAGTTGGCCAGCTAGAAGCTTAGTGAGAAGTGGAGTCATAATGATAGCTCCAATGGTTGAACACCTATAATTATCACAATATTAAAATAATTAAATAAAGAATAAGAAAATAAAAGGATATTTTTCTTTAAAAAATAAGAATCTCACTGCAAGTTCATGGTGTATAAGTATGATATCATAAACCAACAAAGTCACTGGGTGTCAACATAATTTACAGGTATTATAAGTAACACTTAACCAAATGCAGACTCAACTTATGTCCTAAAGCTTATTCATAATACAGGTTTATCCCACAGATCTTTCTCAAGCTCAAAAGATTCCCCTCAGCTATAGCAAAACAAGTCACATTAACAAACTGAACTTACGTTGTCATAAGAATTGAGAGTGCAACATTTCCTTTTGATATATAGGTTGCAACATTTGATGCCTGGCCTCCAGGGCAGCATGAAACAAGAATCAAACCAGTAGCAAGAGGTGCGGACAATTTAAGAGTCTGCAAGATCAATGACAATCAGTGAAAGTAGCTTACATTGTGTTTACAAGCATTAGGCACCTATAAATAAGTGATTATGACATGTTTTAACTAGTTATGATTTCAATATACAAGAATTATAGAAAATAGGCATCCTAGTAGCCAAAATGGCCTTATTTGAGCCATTTTGGTTGAAATTGCGTTCCAAGACCACTTACTTGCTCTTTTCTTGTAATCTCAAGCATTAGGCACCTATAACTAAGTGATTATGACATGTTTTAACTAGTTATGATTTCAATATACAACAATTATAGAAAATAGGAATCCTAGTAGCCAAAATGGCCTTACTTGAGCCATTTTGGTTGAAATTACGTTCCAAGACCACTTACTTGCTCTTTTCTTGTAATCTCAAGCATTAGGCACCTATAACTAAGTGATTATGACATGTTTTAACTAGTTATGAGTTCAATAGACAAGAAGTATAGAAAATAGGCATCCTAGTAGCCAAAATGGCCTTACTTGAGCCGTTTTGGTTGAAATTGCGTTCCAAAACCACTTACTTGCTCTTTTCTTGTAATCTCAAGAATTAGGCACCTATAACTGAGTGATTATGACATGTTTTAACTAGTTATGATTTCAATAGACAAGAAATATAGAAAATAGGCATCCTAGTAGCCATAATGGCCTTACTTGAGCCTTTTTGGTTGAAATTGCGTTCCAAAACCACTTACTTGCTCTTTTCTTGTAATCTCAAGCATTAGTCACCTATAACTAAGTGATTATGACATGTTTTAACTAGTTATGAGTTCAATAGACAAGAAATATAGAAAATAGGCATCCGGAACGAAAAGGAGTTTTATAAAAAAGAGTTTGAAGTCGGGACAGGTCGTGTAGGCCGGCTTTACCAATAGGTACGTAAGTCACTAACCTACTGGTTAGGAAACTATGTGAACCAAAGGCCTTTCTTCATTCTATAGGGCGAAGTTGTTCCCTCTTCTCTGGTAACCCGCCGCTGGTCATATACATATAGAGCGCTCCGCCCGCCACCGCATATGTAGAAAAAAGGGGAGCGGGGAAGGAAGAACATTTAACTTTGACACATGAGGTGGCGAGTTTGGCTAGGTAACATAATGGAAATGTATCGGACTGCAAATCCTGGAATGACGGTTCGACCCCGTCCTTGGCCTCGGAGAGTAGCGAGCAGCACGGAACTTGAATCAAATCAATCAAATGGCATAGTAGAGTAGCCAAAATGGCCTTACTTGGGCTATTTTGATCGAAAATGCGACCTAAACCCTCATATTGCTATTTTCTTGTAATTTCATTCCTTAGGCACATATAACTAAGTAATAATGTCATGTTATTATTATGAGTAAGTATGAGTTCACTTACGTTTTGTGTATTATTCCAAGTTTTGTTTGGGTCATTCCTACTAACTAACCCCAATTATTATTAATTCACTTCTACTAACTCACATTTTGTGTATTCTAAGTTTTGCAAGGGGCAAACGGGACAGCCATACACGAGCGAGGAACTCCATGTAATTCGAGAGATGTTGGCGACCTACATCACATTTAATTTGTAAATATCGTTTACTAGCTAGCTACTTCATCAATCCTAGCCTTAGCTTACTAATTATGTACTATACATTATTATAACTAATTAAAATTGTTTGTAGGTAACATGACACATTTTTCTAAATAATATCATCTCTTGCGATTGTTATTATTATTTATGTTTTGTTATTAATAATACTAATTATTGTTACTATTATAATCATTATTATTATTATTAATATTAAATATTATAATAATAATAATTATTATTTAACATGTATATATTATTATTGCAGCCAAAATAAAAATACAATTTTTTTTTAAAAAATAAAAAAAGGCGCCATTGTAGTTGGCAACGATTAACCGTTGCCAACTCAAGCAATTGGCAGCGGTTAACCGTTGCCAACTCAAGCAATTGGCAGCGGTTAACCGTTGCCAATTGCTTGAGTTGGCAACGGTTTTGAACCGTTGCCAATTATTTTGGGATTTGGCAACCCTCAAATACGCAACGGTTCAAAACCGTTGCCTTTGGGGGGGTTTGAACCGTTGCCAATTTGCTCTTTTCGTGTAGTGATTATATTCATTGTTTTAAATTGTTGTTTAATTTTTTTCTTCTTATAGTTGAATATATATATATATATATATATATATATATATATATATATATATATATATATATATATATATATATATATATATATATATGCTGTTGAAATTTAGTGGATCTTTAGTAAGGCAACTTCTTGGTTGATTATCACTTGATTTTTTGAATATTTTTTTTAATCACTAAATCGAGCTTTTTTGTATGTATTAATTAAAAAGATTATATTTGTACATGATTAATGGGATTTAATGTTTTGTAGGGCCAAAGTAAACAAAATATGCAAAAAATTAAATTTAAGTAAGAGTAATTAAGTATAAATAAAATAGATTAATAAAGTTAAATAGGTCAATTCATGTTGACACCATTTCCCTCACCCTTTCCTTTGTGTAATAAAGGTATATATTAAAATATTAGAGTTTTACGTTAAAATAAATTTCAGGATTTAATTGCGGGAGGCACTGAAAGCTCATCAGTAACTGTTGAATGGGCAATGTCTGAACTCATAAGAAGACCAGACATCATTGCCAAGGCAAGAGAAGAGATTGATCGTGTCATAGGAAAGGAAAGACGGGTTCAAGAAAAAGATATACAAAACTTACCTTACATTTGCGCAATAGTAAAGGAAACAATGAGACTGCACCCGATAGCACCTTTGCTCTCGCCTCGCCAAGCAAGGGAGCAAGTCGAAATCGAAGGTTATGATATCCCTAAGGGTTCTTTGTGCTTGTAAATACCTTTTCTATACACAGAGACCCTGAGGTCATTGTCAATACATAATTTTAAATTAATTACTAATATATTTTATTCTCAATAAGAAAACATCATGAATAATAAAATACACATGGCTTGGAGACGATTCTAACAGCTAGATAGAATGGAAGCTAAATATGTACTCCATCCGTAGTATATATCAATCTAATAATATACTTTCTCCGTTAACAGTTACTTGCAATATTTGCCATAAACAGGTGCTATCTATTATGTGCAACAAATGTTGTTTTTTCTTCATTTAGTAAGTTTTTTTTGTAAGAAATGACCAAACTGACCTCACTAAACCAACTTACTCCCTTAATCATTTCACTAACCATACTCTATTATAACCCTAACTTAACTCAACTAATCTTCAAAAAAAAAAAAAAAAAAAAATCAAATCTGTAAAAAAAAATCATATCTCTCAACATTCATCTTGTTCATCAAATTTCTCACTTCTCCTTCATCATCAAAATCTCACTCCTCCTAGTGGTCATCATCAAAATCTCTCTCCTCCTTCATCATCAAAATCTCACTCCTCCTTCATCTTCCCCAACTTCTGTCCAGATCTGGAAATGGTTGCCTGCGGGTTTCATGCATGGGTGTGGTGGTTCAGGCCGGCACGAGTTTCGTGGATGGTGGTCTAGGTTTTATGGGTTTCATGGGTGGATCTAGGTGTCGGGGGTCTAGGTTATGTGGGTTTCGTGGTGGTGGCTTAATCGGAATTAATACAATTCGTGGTGGTGGTTCAATTCGTGGGGGTGGTGGTTGTTTTCGGTGGGTTTTGGTGGTTGTTTTCGACAGGTTTTGGTAGTGGTTTTCGGTGGATTTAGGTAATTTTCAATGGGCTTTGGTGGTGGTTTTAAGTCGATTTGTGGGTGTTGGTGGTTTTTGGTGGGTTCTAGGTTTTCGGTGGGTTCGGTGGTGGTGGCCATGTACTATAAATTTTGTATTATTATTATTATTATTCAAAAACGAGTTGAGGGATCAATGAAATAAGAAATGTTGCTAATTCGGGTTAACGATTTTGTTTTAGGTTGAATTGAAACAAGCTCATTTGGCTAGGAGGTCGGTTTAAGTTTGCTATGAAATAAAAATTAGTACTGAATCAATTACGAACTTGTTTATTTTGGTTTGATGCGAATTTCAACAGTGTTGTTATTGCAAATAACTTGTCTTTATTTGTCTTTTCACAACTTTATATTTGTTAGGGGTGAGCACGGATCGGAAATCGGATCGGATAACTCGGATATCCAATATCCGACCTTTTTTATAATGCAGTTAAAATTCTAATTATTTGGCAAAAATTATTTGTTCTTTTTTTGAAATTATTTATTGTAAAGGCCACACAACCAAACAATGTTGGTATTTGAAGGCCGTTATTCAAGATCTAGTAGATGCAAACAAACTTCTTGTTCCTCTAGGCGGCCAGAAGTGATAAACAACGATGAAGACAAAGCCAAGATGAACACTTTGTGCAAGATTTCATGACTCTTTTTTTTTTCCTTATTTTTCTTTTTCATCATTCATTTTACTTTTCCCCTCTTTATTTCTAGCATAGGTTTTTTATTCCCAGACTCTATTATGTTTTTATGTTCTTATTCACATTTCCATTAATAAAATGAGCCTAATTTCCTTTACATCTCGATCATGTCTTTTTCCAAAAAAAAAAAAAAAAAAAATCAATTGCTGAACCAAACACCGATGACTTGAGGCACCTTTGCAACCCCTTCATTCCCCTTAAACTTTTTTATAATTTTAGTTAATATATACTCCCCCCATTTTTAAATACTTGCTTCATTTCTCCATGCGCGGAGTTTTAGGGAAAAATTGGAGAAATTAATAAAATATGGAGGTAGTGGAGTTAATGAAAAAATCAAATTGCAAAAAGCAAAAGTAGTTGAGAGAATTGGAGGGGAGAGAATATAAAATTAATAAATATGATTTATGTTAGGTCCGCTAGTTGAGAGAACTGAATTACATATTGTAAAAGTTTTCCAAATAAGAAAATAGAGCAAGTATTTAAAAACGGTCGGAAATAAAAAAAGTCGAGCAAGTATTATAAAAACGGGGAAAATAATGAAAAATATTGATAGTCAAAAGTATATCTTCAAGATTGTACTAAAAAAAATAGGCACATATGGGACGAAACCACAGGAGTATTCCGTAGTTTATAGATAACAACTAAAATTCCATAAACAAGAACATGAAGTTTTACAAAAAGATAATAATATTAATATAAAATTTATAGTGAATGGCATCTCAACAATAATCAAGATGATCCTATAGCTAATAACCCTCATATAGTCATATATGCAATGGTTTTGTGGTATTGTCCCTCTAAAATTACTGCTTTTAAATATGTCCCCAAAATGAAGTTCTATACAGAAGCAGGGCTTCAAGTATAGCTCATCGTCTCACTGCAATGGGAAAGTTAAATGAGCAGGGGTAATACATGAGCAACATAGTTACCCTTCCAAGAACATGAGGAAAACATGAATTATGTTAAGTCAATGCCATCAACAAAGATCCCAAGTGAGGAACAATTCATACCACCACCGTATAGTAGTTAGTACTTAGTAGTCTTGTCACGCTTTTTATAATGCAGTTTAAGCGGTAAGAACCATTAAATTCAACACATTACCTTTCATGGAAAAAAACAAAGCAGTATTAGCAGTAGAAAAGGCTCAAGTGTAAATCATAACTCTAAGGGACACTAGTTGAGTAAAACCAACAGTTCACAACAACTTAAATATAAATATCAAAATCATGGAATTAGGCTAAGATCAAATCAGATCATATACAAAAGGAAAAAAGTTCGAATCAAACAGATAAGAAAACATGTTTATTCTATATCGCTATATCATATCACAATAAAAAATAAAAATAAAAAAGAGTTCAGGTCGAATTAGAAATAATCAAATCAAATCAGAAAACTTGTTTTCAAATTAGTATTAATAATAATTTATTCATTTTGGACGGCATTACATGAATAAATGCATTATCTGCATGGTACAATTGTAAGTATGATGCACATGTAACATGTTAAGGCATCTAGAGAGATGTAACTTTTTAATTTTGTTGTATACTATTAATATGCATTTCCTTTTAGAGGTAAATTTTGATTGAAATAGGTTCTTTATAAAAGCAAAATCTATGTATGAAGTAGCATAGCCAACACAAGAAAAATACTTGTCATACAAGTTTTATTTTTTTACACTTTTGTAATTTAAACACGAATGTACAAAGCTAAAAACAACACTAAATTGTTTTGTTAATAGGATTTTCAGTTAATTTCACATATTTGTAAGTTACAATAACAATACTCCCTTTGTTTTTACACTAATCCGCCTTTTTACCTTCTCTCTTATTTATTTGTATAAGAGTAATAATAGTATTCCTATCAAAATAAATTAATAGTCATAATTTTATTTACATTCTTAACTTGAAAAAAAATCAGATCAGAGTAGATTTGAACAGATAAATTCAGACCAGATTTTAGGTGAGCTAAACATAGCCTTAAACATGGCAATGAAACTATATGACTACGTTAAGATATAGACTACAGATAACAAACTCAATGAAGGCAATTATTTTATACCTCCACGTGTTCAGTGCTTTTGTCTCAACATTGGTTAGGTTGGCGAAAATTGCGTGCCAAATTATCATAGAAATCTCTTTGCTGCTCCCCCACATAGAAATAAAAGAATATACAAGACATGTTAGACAGTCATTTTTCATAAAGTTTAAAACCCCAACGACGCAATTAAAACAATTATACCTTTTTGTTAACAGAAGGAGAAAATCCCGCCAATGCTTTTTCAAAATGACTATTATTTATTATGCAAGGAATGTCACCTGCACCCCTTTGCTTCAATAATAGCTTCTCCTCATGAGCAAACCTATTGGCTTGGCGCATCTAGCAGTATTCCAAAAAAAAAAAAAAAAAAAAAATACTTAGACTATATTGCTAATTGAAAGGAATATAAAGATTTTAATGAACATCCACTGAGGGATGTAGGAGTACCAGAATTGTGATAAAGACATAGCAAAGAAAAGAAACAGGGAATGGCGTGAACAAACCAGGCGATCAAGGTCAGCACCACTAAAATGATCACAAGCTGTTCTCTCTGCAATAGCAAGTAAATCCACATCGGTATCTATAAGTTTCTCTCTTGTAAGAGCTTTCAATATTAAGCCACGTTCCTGTGAACTAGACAGAGGAATGTATAATAGTTTCTCGATTCTTCCAGACCTCAATAAAGCATGATTTATCACCTCAGGTCTAGAACATCCAGATAAAGACTGTCAAATAGGAGGATTTTGGCATTGATAAAACATATTATGAGCAACGATAAGTAATTAAAATAAAATTATACCTATTTGTAGCACCAATGACATAAACCCCCTGCCTTTCCTCTGCACCATCTAGCTCAATAAGAAGCTGCAATGACAATTCAAGATTTTAACATCTGAGTGCATCTTCCATGTGAAAAATAAAACAAAACTATACAGTGGTATAAAGTGAAGAACCTGCTTAAGTATCCTATCAGTAACCCCACTAGATTCTCCATAATTAGCAATCAAAGCATCCACCTGTGACAAGTTCAGCATTTTCAAATGTCATCTATTGAATTTGATTCCTGAATTTATCTTAGTCCTATTCTTGTTATGATACACGCAATTAGCAATACACTGATATAAAAGAAGAATGGGCAGATAAATGGGATTCACATGATTTATTAGTCACTAAATTGTTGTTGGGGCAAATTGGAATTTAAAATGGGTAATGTTATATGCAGCCCTCAAGGCGTATATAAGCATCTAAAACATTATATAGATTAATACTCTGCATTGATTTAGGATTGCAAGACTTTCGCATAGGTTAGGGAAATTAATGTTTGGTTTAATATAATATTACCACTTCTGGCTTTGTATTTCCAGCCACACCAAACACCATAGGTAGGAAAGAATAAATACGAAAGTGTCACAACACCAAATCCAACACCCCCCCCCCCAAAAAAAAAAAAAAAAAAAAAAAAAAACCTTAGAGAAAAAAAGCAAATTTCATGAAGAAAAACAAGAAAAGCAATAGTGACCTAGATAAGGTCATTGCCTATTACACAACAATTTTTCTTTTCAGAAATCCCATCATATTGCAAAGCCGAAAGCTTGATCAACCTCTCCCCCCCCCCCCCCTCCTCTTTCTCTCCTATCAAAAAAATACAATGTTCCAACTGTTTCATGAAGAAAAGCATTAGTGACCTCATCATGTAGATAAACCCATTTTCTGAAGAAAAAAAAAAATGTAGATAAACCCATTGCCTATTACACTACAATTTGCCTTTAAGATATCTCATCATAATGCTTGGCCGAAAGGTTGTTCAAATTTGCCTCTCTTGGCTATATTAAAACTTACAAGCCAACAAAGGAAACTAACAACGAGCAACAACAATGTGAACATTTAAAACAATAATTATAACTTCAAGAAAAAATATTCATACCTCATCAAAGAAGAGAATACATGGAGAACATTTCCTTGCACGCTCAAAGATCTTGCGAACAGCCAATTCACTTTCACCAACATATTTGTCCATAAGTTCAGGACCCTGGTAAGGTTTTTTTAAAAAGCAGAACATTGAGTACTTCATAGCAGGGTGAGTATGCTTTAAAGGCACAATCCCCAGAAAGCAAAGATGCAAACAGACAGGGGTGAGGGGGTGGGGGTGATTTACAGCAGGGAACAGTAAAAATAGACCTTGATGTAAATGAAACTTGCACCAGCCTCATTAGCAACAGCCTTGGCAATCAACGTTTTACCACAGCCAGGGGGGCCATAAAGCAAGAATCCTGCTGTCAAAGCTTCTCCAAATCCCTGAATAATGTCAGCAGAATTAAGAGTCAATATACAAAAATCATCAGACATAAGATGCTGCTCATAAAAGCAGACATTAGAACCAGATCAACAGTCACACTGGCTTGAAAGTTGAAATGGTGTAAAAAAAATTTAGCTGCAATGACTCATTATAAAGTCAGTTTACAAAAAGACAAAATATCACAGGCAGCGGAAGGATTCCCAATGACTTCTGTAGAAGCAGCAAAGCAAGTAGGCTTAAAATAGCAGATAAACCTCTCTTAATTAAAAAGGACAGCAGCTTATCAAATAATGGGTAAAATGAACTACTAATTATAAATGGCTACAAGTCATTAAGGCCGCGTTTGGTTTTTATGGAAAATGATTTTCCCATTTTCCTTTGTTTGGTTTGTAACCGGGTGGAAAATAATTTCCCAATGGTGGAAAATTGCATCTAGTGGAAAAACATTTTCCTTTACAAAACAAGGGAAGCCTCATTTTCCTTCCTCTTTCACTTTCCTCTCATCCATACCCACATTTCCACTCCTATTTTTTTATTTCTCTTTAACTTTTCTGGTAAGAACCAAACAAAGGGAAATTATCTTGCAAGTGTGGTTTTCCTTGAAAGTATGTTTTCCATGAAAACTAATTTTTCATTGAAAATATTTTACATCAAACCAAACGGGATCTAAACAGAAAGTAGACAAACGGTAAACCATTACTACACATGCAGCAATCCTAAGTAAACCAAAAACGAATTACATTTATCCAATAAGAAACTGCATGGAAAATACAAACTGCACATTGCACACGATTATTTAAATAAATAAATATTGCATAACAAACTAATGGTAGCATGAATCCTATTCTAATTGACATCAACTCAATACAAGTAGTTATCAGTAATTCTCGAATAACAAAGTCTAGAATGCTACTCCACATTAGTTTTAGTGATTGCAAAACACAAAATCACATCTTACACACTTTAATGATTACAAATATTGAAGAAACAATGACTACGTAAAACAAGTCAACTAAGAACTATTAGGAAAAAAAAAAATTTAAAAATTAAAAATAGAAGAACAATCACAGAAGTTCAACAGTCAAAATGTGTGTAGGTTAAGAGTACGTGCAATCTAATAAATATAAACGCTGTAATCAAACTAATAAATTTGACAAGACCAGAAAACTTGAAAAAAAAATATTAGTATAATTAATTACCTCATAATCTTCAGGATTTCTAATAGGATCAACTATACAGCTCTGGAACTCCTGCCTTATCGTGCCAAGGCCTCCAAGATCTTCCCACTTCACATTAGGAACAGGAGAGAAACCTTCCCTCTTTAAAGATGGTTGAACATTCTTAATTGCAACCTAAATCAATACATAGTCCAGGAGGAAAAAAACATCAACATACTTGGAAAAGCACCTATATCCATAAACTAATAATATTTCATGACAATAAATGGCAAAAGTAGCAAATTTTACAATGGAACAACACTTTTTTTACACTTGGGAAAACATTTACAGGAAAGTTCAAGCTGACATTGTGTTACCTCAAAATCTGACATTTTGGGGCAGAGTGTTTCCATTTCTCCAGGCATAAAACGTAGTTGCTTCCACCAACCGTCAACTGCACACACCTTAAGAACCTCATCCTTCTTAAAGTTTATCATCTTCCTCATAGCATGTACAGAAGCTTTCCTAACATAATCTTCCAGGTCAGCCCCAACAAACCCTGCTGTGTCCCTAGCCAACTTTCTAAGGTTCAAACCCTCTTGAACACCAAGATCACGTGTCAAGACTGAAAGTATCTCAAACCTTGCATTTTCACCTGGAACTCCTAGTTCAATCTCCCAGTTAAATCTTCCAGGTCGCCTTAATGCAGGGTCAAGAGCATTTGGGCGGTTGGTTGCTCCAACAACAAGAACATGGCCTTGTTTGTTCTCAGAAACTGAAATCTCCTGAACTGCTGGAGATGAATGTACTTTACTCTCACTCACAGATTTCTTTTGACCAGCTACAGAAGCATTCTCACATATAGTATCCATGCATTTCAATAACTGAGTGACAATTCGCCCTTCTTGCCTTTTCTGCGAGCTCTCTCTTTTCTCCGCAATGGCATCAATCTCATCAATGAATATTATTGAAGGAGCAGTCCTACGAGCTTTTAAGAAAAGCTCACGGATGTTTCCTTCTGACTCACCTTCAATATGAAAACGCAAGGAGCCACAACATCAAGTACTGCTATAGTAGGCTCTTTAAAGGCCACAAAACATATCAAAAACATACGTAGTATAAGCTAGTTCTGACATGACATACCTGATACACCAGATACAATCTCAGTCGATGCAATCTGATACAGAGGAAGGCCGGCTTCATTAGCAATAGCTTGAGCCAACATGGTCTTGCCACACCCAGGAGGCCCATGCAGTAAAATTCCTGTTGGTGGCCCTGCACGTAATTGACACAGCCGATTGAGGACTTCAGGGTAACGAAGTGGGATAAGCACATCGGATATTAAATCCTCCAATACTTCACGCATGCCACCAAGATCCTTAAACATGGGATGCGTGTGCACCTGATCTCTACCGTCATCTAACTCCATATTTTTCCTTCCTATTCCTCCAGTCTTCTCAAGCATCACAATATTCTCCATCTCATCCTTTTCTAATAATTCTATATTTTTCTCATTTTTGGCCTCCGTACTCTCTTCTGTTTTATCAGGTTCAAATCCATCCTGACAATAGGCTTCCCTCAACATTGTTCTCATCAAGTCAAACTTCGGACTAGAATCCTCCGATGATAATGCTGAAGTCGATGTCGATTGTTGCACTTGAACATCTCTACCGCCACTACTATCATTCCGCGGGAAACGGGCCTCCCTAACAATTTTGGTGAGTATTACGTCTTTCTTCCTCCTGTACTCCGGATAAGTCTTACGTAAATATCTCACAGCATCCTCCTCACTCTCAAAACGGCTGCAATCCCCCAAGCGTTGTTGTAAAGTCCTAAAAGCGCTACGACCACCACGGGAATTCGATCCCTTTCTCATTGTGTTATACAATTACATAAACAAAGTAATTTCATAGTACAAAATAAACAAAAACCGCATTCCTTTCCGATTGAATTGAATTAATCAGGTATACATTCAGGCCCGTCCCTGAGCCAGGGCAGGAGGGGCTGCCGCCCTAGGCCCAGGGAAAAGTGATCTTATTTCATATTTAATTATCTCGAATTATACATAATTTTAGGGATATTTGATTCAATGGAAATTGATATGACGATAACAACAACAAATAACTTACCTTAGAGGTTGCTTCAATGGGGGATCAAGAATTAGATTCCACGGAGAACGCTTCAATGGAGAACGTTGAGTGCGCTTCAGTGAAATAACTGAGAGGAGAGAGGTAGGAATGGAGGCCTTGGAGCCCTATTAAATTAAATATTTAAAAGCCATGACCCGACACAATTATAATATAGGTTAGATCCGTCTAATAAATAAATGGGGCGGATCTTTATATAATCATCTAATTATGGAACAGCCGGGCTTTATAAGGGTTTTAAATAAATAAATAAATCTATACTAAACAAGAACTCTTGCAAGTCATACAAAATGTCACGTGGCATCTCCCTAATATTCATTTATAGTTACATATTTTTATATTTTTTTTATTAATTTAAATGAAACCTTTTCATTTATGTCTTTTCATCATATAGTTAATTAGTTTTCCATTTCCTACTCTTTCAATGTTTATTTATTTATTTATTTATTTTAGGAAAACTATTTCACTGTATATTATGAATCTTAATAGCCTTCCATAATACTTACCGAAAACTTCAGTTTCCGACTCTCATCTCAAATGATAGTCATTATAGCTTAGAAATACTCTTTTTTCTTTTTTTTTTTTTAACTTCAACCCATAAAATCTGATTCAACAGCACTAACCCCATTATCAAAAATACAACAACAATTTTCATTGGTGTCCTTTGGCTTCTCTCAATCTAACTAAATAATGTTTCCATCTTTTATGCTTGTATCTATACAAACGAAATGTATTTTGAAAGATTCGAAGTGCGGTACATATTCAAAGTTTATTGAAGAGATGCAGTCCAATTTTTCACCAGGTAATTTCGAAATTAAGAAATTTTCCAATTTGGAAGTCTCTTCCTTTTCTTCTTCCCCTCTCCCTTCTTTTCCTCTTCCCTATTCTGAAATTCCAAACCACAAAATACATTATAATTTATACTTCCTTGCAGTGCCCTTGACGATTGCTTAATTTCGAAAATCACTTGCTACAAGTTTCTTATTCAATATCTTCGTCATAATAAAGGTTAGTTTTTTAAAAAAAAATAATTTGTTGTAATTATTTTTCAAATTGCAATTTAGATTCTAACTTAAATCAAATTTTGATTCCGACAAATTTGTTGATATTTGTTCTGGGTCTTTAAAATGCATGGTGGAAAGATGTTGTTGTATAAAAAATTGATTTTGTGCCGTGCTCTTAGTATATTAATTTTAATGGATGAATTCTGTTTTTGTTGTATTAATCATACTTCGGATGGAATTTTTTGGTACAAGAAATTGTATTTGACGCTAAAATGGATTCTTTTTTTCCCCTACTATGCATGCAACTATTGAAAGTTTTTGTGAACTTTTCAACTACTTTATGTTGCATTTTGAAATTTGATTTTGTGAACTTTATATTAGTATTGATTTGCTTACTGTTGGGTTTTGTGGGTTAAAATTACATTTTTTATGTCAGACATCTCCTTTAATCAAGCCAATTTAAAAACTCTTGTAAATCAATATTTTGTAATTTAATGCTTGATATAGGATGTATCAAATTGGTTATTAGAATTTTGATTGTTATTTAAATTTAAGTTTTGTTTGATTGAATTGAAATTCAATATTAATAAAAGTTTTTGGCATTTAAATTCATAATTTTTTCGATTTAAAGTGTTGTAACTTGTAAGTAGCCCTATGAAAATTAATTGGTATTTCTAATTACTATCTCACTTGCATAATTGCCGTAAGATTATTAACAATGCTTAAACACATGCTAAACACTAACGGAGTATGTAGTATTATTTTTATGCACATAGCTCTTGACTAGACCCAAAGTTCTTAGGGAAGACATTTCCCCTGCCAACATCACCTTCCATCAGTTCGTGTTTGTGTTATGTGTTTGGAGCTTTGGAGAATTGGATGTTGAGGATGGGAGGGGGGTCATTGCACACCATTTAACATGATATTGATTATTGATCCCTTAAATTCTGATGTTGTTAGTTGACCAAAATGTAGCTTGATTTAGGCAGGTCTAATTCCTTCAATATGCTAGCAGAACTTCTAACTCACCCTTTCCAAAGGATGTGTTGTATAGGGTATGTTGTTGGTTGATTAGTCTTCATGTAAAATGTTTAAAAATTTAGCATGATTGCTCTTTTAGTGAAAAGTGGGAGGTATTATGTATCTATAGGCTGATTAAAATTTAAGCATGGCTGCTCTTTTAGTGAAAATTGGGTGGTATCATGTATATGTAAGCTGATATGTTCTGATGCTTCCATTATGTTTGTAGTCTCGGAAAAGAAAGTTAAGAATACTTGAGGACAACACTGCTAACATTGAGGAGCAACAACATTTTGAGGAGGTTAAGGAGTAGATCCAGCCAAAGAATTCATAAATAACTGAGGTATGTAACATTTGCAAAGAGTTTGCTACAACTTAAATTACATGTATGTACTCACCTGAACATGCTTTTCCTTATTGTAGTGAATTAATGATTTTGAGATTTTATGCAGATAATTTTGACATAGCGTTGCAGGAAATATTTCGTATGTTGATATTTAAGCAAATTGGATGACAAAAACAAGAAATACGTACAATTGCTTCCATATAATTTGAGTGGACTTATATACTCTTAAACAGAAACACTAAACATCCCCCATCCTTTTAATTTCGCTCTATTTCTCACTTAGAATGAAGAAGCAAAACGAATTGAGCCAATGAGCATAAAGACCAAGGATTTGATTGTTATTCGAACGTGGTAGGAGGACAAATCAAGCATTATGAATTGGTGATCTTAAATATTTTCATAATTAAGATTGATTGAAGATATATTCTTATTTTTGAATTTCTAATTTCACTTGCTCTAAGAGGTTAATAAACTTATAGGACAATTAAATCACAATCAATTCCAAAACAACTTTTGGATTTGATTATGCTAATTCATCATGATGAGTATTCTGATGTTTTTAAACGCATTTTGTTGCCAGATTGTTCATGTAATATGCCCTTTAGTTGGTTTAGTTTAGAACTTACACCTTTATTATTAACACCTCAATATATCATACTTTGAACTTAAGAGGTATTGCTTTTTTTTTTTTTTCTTTTTAAAACCTTTTCTCCAGATATTCAAAATTGTCTTCATAATGCCTGTAAAATTGTAAAATTATTGTAGGTATGTAGCTTCAAAAAAAAAAAAAAAAAATGTATTGCAGGTGTTTACTACAAGAACAAATGGCGTTGGAGAATAAATAAAATGTGTCATTTGCTATAATAGGAGATTTCTAAAAAGCTGTACATTGATAAAGTTATGATATTACATATATTTACCTTCACCAGTTATGGTGAAATGAGATACGTAGTATGTAAAAAATGGAGTAGTATCATTATTGGGGATAATTTGCTCTTTAATGTAGCAATTCAATTTATATTGTAAAACATTGGATGTTGTACTTATTCTGCCGTGTTGCTAAAAAATTAGTTATACTATAACTTTATGTACCATGTCAAAAAAAAAAAAAAAAAAAAAAAAAAAAAAAAAATACTCTGTACAAGGTATAAGTATAGGTTCACTTTTTTTTTTTTTTTTTTTTTTTTTTTTTTTTTTTTTTTTTTTTTTTTTTTTTTTTTTTTTTTTTTTAACGGAAGTATAGGTTCACTTTGCTTCACTTAATTACCACGAATTATAATACAATTTGAATTTCCCTGAATACCTTGAACCCAAACCAAAAGCACTTTTAATATAATATAATATTCTTTCACAAAAAGAAGATTTGTTAAAAAGTTTGACCCGTGCAATAATACTAGTTTTATTTGTTGGCAGAGTTACTTTTTTTTGCTCAATGCAATTTTTAGTGTCACGTGGCATCTCTCTAATATCTATTTGTAGTTACATATTTTTATATTTTTTTTATTAATTTAAATGAAACATTTTCATTTATGTCTTTTCATCACAAGTTAATTAATTTTCTATTTCCTTGGATAAATGTACTCTTTCAATGTTTATTTATTTATTATTTTTTTTTAGGAAAACTCTTTCAATGTTTATTATGAATCTTAATAGCCTCGAATAATAGTTACTGAAAACTTCAGTTTCCAACTCTCATCCCAAATGATAGTCATTATAACTTATAAATTCTCTTCTTTCTCCCCATTTTTGCATGTCGAAAATTTATTTTCCTTCCTATTTTTCTAATTGAATTATACAACCTTACACCACAATTGAGTTGATTTCCTTTCTTCCTACGAAGTATTTCTCTAATTTGAATTATACAACCTTACACCGCAATTTAGTCGATTAATTTTGTAAGACAATTTGGCCAAATTTTGTATTGATCAGTTCACACTTTCATCAAATTTGTCACAAAAGGTTTGTTTTCTCTATGTTTAACTCCCTTTTTTTTCAATTTGCAATTTTACAATTTTAATCTCAATTATAAATAGGATAATTTATAAATTACCACCCAAAAATAAGGCCATTTTTTATATAACCACCCAAAATCAATTTAATTTTATTTAACCACCCATTAAATTAATTAAGTGCGCAGATTACCACCCATTTTGAATTTCCGGTGGAATTTCCGTTTGTGGACCCCACCTAATTTTTTTCCCTCCTTTTTTTTCTTTCATTCTCGACTTCTTTCTATTTTGAAGCAACTCAAATCATCTTCACCTTCTTCCTCAACGAATTTGTTCAATAATTTTGTCAAAAATCCAGTAATCTAGTTTGTTCACCCTCTTTGTTCATAAATTATCAACAACTCTTCGAATTAAAACCCTAATTTTTCCAATAAAACCCTAACTTTGTGTTTGTTCTACAAAGGAATTACTCGGGCTGTTTGCGAAAGGTACATTGCGTAAATTCGACATCTTTTGGCTGTTTGCTGAAGACCAGTAGCTTAGGTCAGTAACAATGGCGTCGACAGAGGTAAGCAATTTTGATCCTTGCCTTTAATTTTGAAAGTTGTTGGTTGTTGATGGTATAATTGCAATTATGTGGAAAGTTAGGGTTCATTGTGTACCTGATTGAATTATTTAATTGAGGTCAATTATTTTGTAATTATTGTTGAATTGTTTAAGTATTTTGGTAGGACAATCTAGGGGATTTGTCTATTGCTGCTATGTGAACAGATTGTTTTTTTTTTATGCTGCTTTGTTTATTGCTGATGTGTTCAATATTGCTTTATTATATGCACAGATTGCTGGTGATGTTGAATTTGTAGATGTTAAGGTTAGATTAGGGGGTGTGTTTGTGAACAAACAAATAAAGGGGAAGACTTTGTGTGGGTATGAGGGTGGGTGGGATTATTGGAGGTATAAGTGCAAAGTTAGTGAGATATCAGTGAACCTACTTAGGGAAACCTGCATTTGGGGGTTTGTGAAGTTTGATTTGCATGTGCCAAGCATGTGGAGTATTTGGTATAAAAGAAAGGGGAAGACTTGGTCAAATGGTAAAAAGGAAATTCTGAGTGATGATGATGTAAAGGGCTTTTTGGAGACAGACTAAAGATGGGTTTGTTGTAGTTTATTGTACTAACCAAGAACCCAGTGTAGTTCAGCCCACCCAAAACAGTAAAAGCAAAGCTGTTAAGCCCACCCAAGTGAGGAGAAGCCCAATGTTTAAGCAACAGTTGCCAAATACAGACAAGGATGAGACAGAAAACAACAAAAAGGGGGGGCATTAAGTTGTAGAGCACACTGAGAAAACAACAAGAAAGGCATTGTTCTCAGAGAGTGTGAAGGGGAAGAAAAAGCAAGGTGAAGAGGAAGGCACATCTGGGAGAAATAGGGTGAAGGGAAAAGGATAGGGACAGGGGAAAACAAAGGGGAAAAGGAAGAGGAAGACAAAGAGAGAGGTTGAGGTGGAATCAGATTCTGGATCTGGTTCCTTTAGGTCTGAAGACCTTGACACTGACATAGAGTAGGAAGCAAGGGAAGAAGAGGGGGGATTTGAGATGCTGACATAGAAGGTGTTGACAACACTGTAAGTAGGATAATTGAAGAAGTGAATGCAAGTCTACAGTGTGGGAAAGATAGGGTTGAATATGAGGTGGAGAACAATGATGAAAAGCTTGAAAGTGAGCTGGTGAGCAAAGAAATTTCTGTATAGGGAGAGTTCACTTCTGATTCAGAGGAGTTGGATAGCCCTAGAGATGATGAGCAAGATAATTGTCCATGGTTTCATGCCTCAGTGGACTTTAAAAAGCCTATTCAGTTGCTGAAAGGACAGAAGTTCCTTAACAACAAATTGCTGAGGAAAGCTCTAAAGCTTCTTGCCATTGAGAATAGGTATGAATATTGGTTTCTACACAATGATAGCAGCAAATTAACTATCTAGTGTAGAAGGAGGTGTCAATGCAAATGGAATAAAAAAAAAAGTGTAGGCTGCCTATGTGTACATGTGTTGGGGGGAGGAGATGTCATTTTAGGGTGGTTGCAAGGAGGTCTGTCAACCAAGATTATTGACAGATTAAGAATTTGAATTTAAACCACAAGTGTTTAAGGGTCAGAAGCAATCTGAACCTTACTGCTGAATTTTTAGCTGAGAAGTACATTGAGGATCGGAGAAGTGAGCCAGGGTGGAAAATAAAAAGCTTCAGAAGGAGGGTTTTAGGTGATTTTGGCATAGAAATTACATACAGCAAAGCTTGGAAGGCAAGGGCAAGGGCTAAGCTCAAGATTTACGGATCAGCAGCAGAACAATATGCAAGAGTGTGGGACTATGGGAAGGCTCTCATGCAGTACAGCCCTGGCAGTGAATGTAATGTTGTGGTTGATGGATTGGAGCAGATTGAGCCCCCATTATTCTTGAGAATGTTCATATGCCTTGCACTAGTGAGGAAAGGATTTCTGTCTGGTTGTAGACCACTAATTGGGGTTGATGGATGCCATCTCAAAGGTCCATACCCTGGTCAGATACTAGTTGCAGTTGGTAAGGATGGCAATAATCAAATTTACCCTATTGCCTGGGCTACAACTGAAATAGAGAATACAGAGACATGGGTTTGGTTCCCTGAGAGCCTGATGAAAGCCTTAAAGGATGAAAATCGAGGCCTAGGATATACCTTTATATCTGACAGGAAAAAGGTACACTTATACCATCAAAAAAAATTCTGACTGATGAATTTACTTTCAAGTTACTTCATTGATGTAGTATATGTGATGTGTGAACAGGGCTTGGTAGAAGCTTTGCAGCAGGTAGTTCCTTATGCAGACACAAGGTACTGTGTCAGACATATATGGGCTAACTTCAAGTTGCAGTTTAGTGGATCCACTTTCAAGGAGTTGTTCTGGTTAGCAGCAAGGGCAACAACATTGGTATGCTTGCTATTTGCACTGTTATGTAATGAGTTTGTTTCATTTAACATCCATGTGTGACTGTGTGTGTTCTGATTTTATATGTTTGTATGTTTACCCTTCCTGTTGTAGTTTGACTTTGAGGTAGCAATGGAGTCAATAAGGTTCTTGTCTGAGGAAGCTTATGAATATCTTGCTAACATCCCAGCTAAACACTGGTCCAGACATACATTCAGTACATTCCCAAAGTCAAACATGTTGCTCAACAACATTTGTGAGACTTTTAATGTTGTAATCAAAGAAGCAAGGGATAAGCTTATTCTGACTCGGATGGAGTGGCTTAGGAGGTACATGATGAAAAGAAACAATGAAAAATGGGAAAGTTTTCTGAAAATGGAAGGGAAGGTTGTTCCATATGTGAAGAAAACATTCCAAAGGATAGAACCAGCTGCAAGACATTGCATTGTGCAAGTTTCTAGGGGTGACAGTTATGAGGTTGAGCTTAACTCTGACCTAGTAACAGTTGACCTAAGCAAGGCAACATGCACTTGCTTCCACTGGGACCTAACTGGTATCCCCTGTGTCCATGCATATGCATGCATCATGGACAAAAGGGCAGACCCTGAAGATTATGTGGACAGTGCTTACCTTGTGTCCACATACATGTTGGCATACAGGCTTGAGATTGCACCTATGCCTGGTCCAAAACATTGGGAAAAGGTTAAGCTGAGGCAACCACTACCACCAGCCATCAAAGTCCAGCCTGGGAGGCCTAAGTCTAAGAAGAGGAAGTTGGAGCAGTGAGAATTGGGCGGGCAAAACCAGCATGTGTAGCAGCCAATCAAAAGGAGGAGCACATGTAAGAATTGTGGCCAGCTTGGACATTATGCCAAAACATGCAAAAACCCTACTACCTTACCAGTTGCTATCTCTTCCCCAAAGAAAGAAGGAGGAAGACCACCTTTGAACAGTGACTGGGTGACTGACCAGAGAAAGAAGAGGGCAGAGAGAGCTTTGAAAAAGGTAAAAAACAGTTTTGTATGTGACCTGTGCCTTTTGGAGTATTGAAAACAAAAAACTAAACTAAAACTACTTTGTGTGCTTTATAGAGTGCAGTTGGTGGTACCCCTGGACCAAACAGTATTGCCTCCAAGAGGTTCCCTCAAGAAGAGCATCAGAGGAAGCAACAACAAACTCAGTATAGTCAAGCTTCATCCACAACAGTTGCCACAACCTCTATACCACATCCTACATCATCAACAATAGCTGCAGCCTCTGAACCACCTCACCAGCCACCAAGATCCAAGCTGCATGTAATTAGACATAGCAACTAGATACATGTTGCTCCTAGTTGTTATTAGTAGATGATAAGTGCAATTTTTTGACCTTGTGGAACAATGTTAGCTATGAACATATGAAATTTGGATGGCCATGTTAGAATGTTGATGGTTGTAATGTGTTAGTAAATGATATTAATTTGACATTATCACTTGTTATATGCAAAACAACCGTTTTTATTACCAAAACAACGGTTTTATTTCATTCCACAACAGCATAATAGTAGCAGTACAATCAGCCTTCATCTCCCCCTTAAACCAGTTTATTAATTACAACAGAACCTAAAACTAAAAAAACAGAACACATAACAACTACAACAACCATCAGCTTGCTGTCAGAATTGCCATTGCTGCTGATCATCTTCTTCCTGTCACCACTTAGGGCCTTGCATTTCAGTTTCAAAGTGTCGACCTCATTTAGCAAACATCTTCTTTGGCCAGTCAAGTCATCAACCTCCTTCTTCAGTGAGTTAACTTCAGCCTTCATCAGTTTTTTATCAAGCACAAGTTGGTTGATCACATCTCTCTGCCACTCAGTTCCATCATCAGTGTCAACCCATTCAAAACACTTGCACCCCCTAGTTTCAGTGACAGGGTCATAGAATTTACAAGCCCTGAATTTCCTCCCTGGGTTCCCCTGGTCCATGATGTCAACTTTGCAACAGGCAATCCACAATTGCATTTCTTCTGGTTTGTGGGAGATGAGTTATCCCAGGACATCTTCCAATCTGCAAGTACCATAATAAACATAAAAAATGTCAATTTAACTAAACACTTCCATTGGACAACCTATTATACACATCTTACTCAACCACACCTATTCATTGTGGTGGTTGGCCTCCATAATGAGGATAACCAGGGGGTGGCCATGCCCCATTTTGTTTCATCCTGTACTCCAAGATACAATCAGCCAAGAAACCAGGGTCATATGTGCTCCCAACATGTATGGTATACATGTCCTTATTAGGTAACCTCCTAATCATCTTAAACACATCACCATCATCCTCTAAAGTCCTATACTTCCCTCTATAAATATACTGAAATGTGGGGTGCAGGATGTCAATTGATCCTTCTACTGGGTCTTCCATTTCATGAAGTTGATCTTCAATTTCTATTGCTGTATCCAACAAGTTACTTTTGCCTACTTCATATTCAATGTCAATAACAACACTCAAATACTTAAATCTGAAAACCACCTTATTCTCCTCCATTTCTGCCACAACAATTCCAACAACAAATAAACATAACAAGCTCAGAACAACATGATCCAAAGCAATCAAAACAGTACGTGAATAAATAAATTGCAAACTCAATTTCACAAAGCAAACTAACAATCAATCATAGAAACCCCAATTCATTACTACCAGGTACCCTAATTGTTGAAATAACACAAATAATTCGTGCTTGGAACAAAAACCCTAATTAACTAATCCCCCAATTTTCCCCAATTTCAGAGCAACATGAACCCTAATTAACTAATCCCCCATTTTTCCCTAGTTACAATACAACAAGAACCCTAATTTTTTTTAAAGAAAACAAGAATACCTGATGCGAATTCAGCTGTTGTCTTTCTTGGGGATGCGTCTGCAATTAGGGGAAGTGTTTTTGGTGAGATTTTGGGAAGAGTTGAAGAAGAACTTGCTATTTGATGAAGGGGAACTGTTTTATGGGAAAAAATCGAGGAGGAAAACAATTAGAAAGAAAAAAAATAGCCGTTACTAGCCGTTAGGTGGGGTCCACAAACAGAAATTCCACCGAAAATTCAAAATGGGTGGTAATCTGCGCATTTAATTAATTTAATGGGTGGTTAAATAAAAATAAATTTGTTTTGGGTGGTTATATAAAAAATGACCTTATTTTTGGGTGGTAATTTACAAATTATCCTTATAAATATTGTGATAAATTAAATTATTTGTATGGAGTATAAACCCTTTGTGTGTTTTTTAATATTATTTTTGCTAAAATTTGAAATAAATAGGCAAAACCAAATTTTATTTGTTGGCATAGTTACTTTTTTTGCTTAATGCAATTTGTATTACTTAATGTTACATATGACATGATGTATTTTTTTTCCCCCGGTAAGAATATATTGCATTACATTTATGGACGTAAAATTACATTTTAATTTACTAAAAAAGTGCAATTTGTATTTACAAATGTTTTTGATTATTATTATTTTTTAGAAAATTTTTTTGACTAAAAAAAGTCTAAATACATATATTAAGATAAAAAGATGATTTCGTGCATCGCACGGGCTAAATACTAGTTTGTTTTAGAAGTATTAGTTTTCCTTGATTCTTCCATTTCTCAAATATTATTTTCACACACCAAAGCTTGTATCAATTCTTTGTAAGATTTTTAGATTTTTATTTTTTTTTAGTTTGAAATCAGCTGAAATTTCATTAATTAAACTGAGTTTACAACAAACGAAAGGAAAGTAAAGTAAACATAAGTTACTATAGGCATAAGAAGCCCTTACACAACACCAACTAAGGTCATTAACGAAATTTACCTTTAAACTATTACAACGAGTGATGACATACATTTAAACATGTGATGGGACTGATTGAACGAGGGAAGTTGGTGATGATGTTTCGTGTGTGCAAGGTCTTTTCTAAGATACAATAAAAAGTCTATGAATGTTGCTAAAATGACGGAGACGGCCCAAAATCAGTATGTCTTATCTTAAGGGACCCCAACAATTCAAATGGATAAAATCCTCTTGAGATCTTTGTTTAATGCATGTCAATCACATTTCTTTGCGATCTGACAAAACCACATCTTATATATATTCTCATACAAGGTCATGATGTTGTTATGCTTTATACCGTCATCACATACAAATGGGTTTAACAACACCTACTACCATCCTCCTTCAACAAGGGTTTATGTAAACCTGAAATTGAAATTTTACTTCATCTCCCAACAAACATAAGTAACACCCCTTCCATTAAAGGAACACGTACATTTTTATTAAAACTAAAGAGATTAAAAAGGGAAATTCCAAGAGTCAAACGACTCCATTGCATCCTCCAATTAACCCTGAATTCGACTTGTTTTCGCTTTTCGATCTATTATATTGGGTGCTTCCAAAATCTACGTTTTATTTTTTAGAAAAATTCAATTTAATATATTAATACGAACTTTTTAGCGATTTACTCTCAATAATCCCAACTTACGTTTATTCAGAAGCACTATGAACTTTTGGGTGGATATTCCTCCACTAGGTCGATTTACCAATGACCTAAAGAAAGAGTGATTTTTATTTTGTAAAAGCCATGTGTCGCAACATAATTGGTCCAAATTTTTTTTGGAAAAAAAATAAAAATATAATTAAAAACCCTTTCCAGCCAGCCACGTGTCGCAACATAATTGGTAAAAAAAAAAATGATAGTTGTTATCAAAAGTGGTCATTTAAATGGTAATTGTTGGTAAAATTTTCTTAATTTTTCACAAAATTACCCTATATCTAAAGTATAATACTCCCTCTGTCCCTTTTTATTGGATACGTTTTGACTTTTACACGTTTATCAATACACCTATTTGACCATTAACAATTTTCATTACATACTTTTTAAAAGTAATAACAATTGAATGTTAATAGAGCATTCGTTGAGACGAATGAAACAAGACCCCACATGACTTTATTATGTCTTTTACTTTTGTGAGTAATTTTGAAGATTATCTAATACTCCATTTGTCCCAGAATACATGACACAATCAACGTTGCACACATGTCAATGCACTAGTTTGACTTTATTTTTATATAATTAAATATTATTAATGAAAATTATTTTAAAAATTATATTTTGAAATTATATTAATACCTATTTAACAACATATTTTATGATAAAATATGTTTTTATTATGTTAGTAACAAATTATGATCTAAACTAATACATGAATAATGAAAAACGTCTAACATCTCATGTATACTAGGACGGAGGGAGTATTATGAATAGTGTTTAAAATCTGAACACAACCAATAAAAAGAAACAAAGGGAGTATTATTAAAATCTAAACATAACCAATAAAAAGAAACAGAGGGAGTATTATGAATAGTGTTTAAAATCTGAACATAACCAATAAAAAGAAACGGAGGGGTACCCTATAAAATTAATCATCCTAAAGTAATACATAACTTTATTTGACCTTTAATAATTTTGATCGGGCGCGAGTGAAAGAAACCCAAAAACCAGCCCCTGTGTTTCAAGCCCCTGGTTTTAATAAAAAAACCACGACCTTGTGTTTTCCAGTTGTAGCCAGTTAGGCAGCCGACAATCAGAGTGGGGTCGGCCTCCTCTTCGATTGCTGGTGCGCCCCCTGTTAAGACTCCAACACAGCCGTAGGGGATCTTGTGGTGGTACCTTCTTTCTTCGACTAAGTGTTCTAGCCTTCCAATCAACGGACGATTCTCAGCTATTCCCGCCTCCTTGCCGTGATCTGCCGGATCCTTTTGTGTGGGTG